TCTTGATATGAATATTCAGCTGCTCAGCCATCGTGGGAACCAACCATTAGAAGTTGAACCCTTTGTAACAGTTAGTTATGAAAAGGGTGTAACTGAATAAAATGCACTCATTGCTGAGCTAAAGTTAGTTCAATTATAACTCACGAAAATGCAGAAGAAGAAAAAAAATTTAGATGATCATAAAACAATACATCTTGTTGATGTTAGGTAACGTCAGTAAGCCTAGCTAACTATCAAAGAATTCCAATGAATGTGGCTAGCTAAATTACATGATTGCATGAGGACCTGGCCAAAACCAAGGATAATCATTGCATTTATCAACTGCTTTGCGGCGTTAGACAACATCAGGAATATTAGCAAACGAATCTAAACTATGAAATACTTAAACTACCCCATGAAGGACAACAAAGTGACAGCTGCATTAGCTAGATAACAGACTTACTAATACACAATTTGGATTGCTGGCGTTATGATACTGAAAGACAGCAAGCAATCCAATGTGTGTTTAAACTAAAACATTGAAAAGTTGATCAACCTAAAAAATACACATTTAACATGGCTTAACCACTCACCTAGTGAGACATTCCAACCCAGTACAAATAAAGTATCCTCCTGTGTTGTCTGCAGATCTTCGAGTATTCCAACATCAGACCAGTAGGCCTCCACCTCGGCCTCGGCGTCTCCTGTATCCTTTGCCCCCCAAGGTAGCGCCCTCTCCCGGGGTAGGAAACAAACTTCTCTATGTCCCCCACGCAAAGGTTAAACGTTTAATTCCCTGTCCTGCTTGGACAACGTATTTCCATCGCGTGTCTATGTTGAATCCCCGGTGCTTGAATCCTTTTATTATGGCGTTTTATATGATTTACAATCAATATTTATAAAGGGGTATATGCTTGCTCCATGTTGTACAGGGCTCTGATTCTGTCTCGGCTTCTAACATTCGCAGTGGCACCCATCCCCCTCCACCGGCATCGACCGCGGGTCTCAGCGAAAGTGACACACAACCATGCCACGGGGTTTCCCGAGCGATGATGCAGGGGCTCATTAATAGGGCGGCTTTTACACGGATGTCCTGCCTCTTATATATTATTAGTCAGTGAAGTGCCAGTCAAGGCAAAAGAAAAAGCTGTATGAGCAAGCGATTGGGCGGCGAATGTTGCTTTTCTCTACGCAGAGGGCGTGACGTTTTTCTAGGAGGGGTGTGGAAGCACATTCGCATTCTGCTATGTGTAGTGGTGGCACACAGGAGTGAGAGCATGTGACGGTAGAATGGATGGATTCGGCAGAGAATTTGATACAAAAAGCGGACCCCGTGTCTACAACATGAGGAAAATGCTGAAGTAATTAAATGAAAAGGCCGGGGATTTATTTCATTCTTTTATAGAAGGATTATATTGCTTGAATGTTTTATGTGTATGCTCAACGCAAAGAGAAAAAGCCTTCGTTACATACAGATACAGAGATAATAATCAAAGTAGCCAATTTGAGCTAAACGTGGTCTACGGGGCCCAAAGGGAATACGACAGAATATGAGGTGTCGGTCGCTCTTGTAGGATCTGGCATTGGATTGGGCAGGGAAATTCACCAGGGTTGTATGTATTACCTCTTGTCCCTCCTACTGCCCAGCCCGAATTCAGTCGCTCCACATTTGAGGAGTGGGGATAACCAAAGATACACTTGACAAAAATACTATCTATCTATTCGAATGTCTCATTAACTGCACGAAAATACCATGTATGCGATCAGATCGTATTTTCTTATAAACAAGCCAAATTCGATAGCGAAAAAAATAAGAAACAATTAGATTGTAGGCAATATTCTACTGTTCATGTTTGACTGTTCTTACAGGCATTCACATAATGGATGAAATGTTTCAGATTCCGCTTCCATTATCCTTCATTGGTAAAAAATAAAATATATAACTGCGTCTGTGGATGAATGGACATAATTAAGCGTACGTGCGATTGGCTTCTTGATTTGTTGTGACGTCATGAGACCTGGGAGAAGTATTGGGATTGGCTAAAGTGATCATGCTAATGTCTTTTTTTTTTTCAACGGTGTTAAGTGCGACGACGGCTACACGATAGAACGCTGATTTTTCACGCTTCTCAAATTTATAAGTTGTTACTTTTACTCAGATAAATCGTTTCGAATCCAATGCATTTTGACAGTAGGTGACAAATGTAACCACAAACTCACAATAAAGATGTTAAGCTGTGTACATTTTTGTGAATATAAATGATCAAATTTGAGACCTTACATACACTGTGTAGTCTAGTTATTTCTGCCCGATGAAAACGAAGATTATGTGATCTGAATAAATCAAGGGTTCTTTCGGTTTAGGCTTTTTGTTGTTATTATGCATTTTATATCACATTTTAGTCATTTAGCAGACGCTCTTATACAGAGCGATTTACAGTTAGTAAACAGAATTTACATTTTAGTGAACAGAAATGGAAGTTCCAAAATAGATACAATCTATAATTCTACGACATTTTGGTTTTATTCCTCGCTTGGGTTGATTTGCACCGGCTTTGTTTATTTATTTGGCATCCCTGCTCTGCTGATACGATTGGTACCATTACTACCTTCTCTCATCAAGGGTAGCTGAAGACAAAACAAGCTAGACATGATGGAGCTCCCGTAAACATTCACAAGTGGATTTCTATAGCCTAAGAGCTCATGAGAATGTATTCTGACTCCAATATAAAAGAAGAATAACACATTAATAACAAATAATTCCACACTAGTTCCCAGGTTTTCACACCCTTCTAACGAACCGATACACGCACCCAGGTTTTGTTCGCTAAAATGTTATTGGGAAGTTGGATTCCTGTACAGACAGGATAACCTTTGTTCTGTAGCCCTCACGTGATTAAAGATCTCTTCTGAGGGCCCATGTACAAGTTTCCCAGCAACCGTGCCAGATAGAGTGCCTTCGCCAATACTTCTATTGTAAATACGGTGAACAGGCTACAAACCAATAGTCATGTCACTTGGCCACTTAACCATAGCACCTAACCAAGCAATAGTCCCCAGAACCCCACGCCCAGTGTTGAAACGTGGCAGGGCAGAACTTCCAACATTAACAGTTTTAATACAATAAAGAAATCATAGCAAAGTAATTTTGTGCCATATGACATTGTGTTGGGTTAGAAATGTTCACATAAAACATAAATGTATAATATGGATCATGTAACTAAAATCAATCAGTTCACTTGGCCAGTAGTCATTTTTAATTGTCTCCTTGGTTTTAATACGAACAAATGGTTGTGTAACACAGGACGGTATCAAAGTGCTAACATGAACATGGATGCAGCCACGGGGTTTTGCATGGTCTCTAACACAAAGAAAAAAACATTTCATATGAGTCACTGTTACATGCATGTCATGTCAGTTCCATTTAAATCATTCATATAATAAGCCTTTTCCATATTTAGTAAGACTTCAGAGCCATTTATGGTTCCAAATGACATCTCATGCCAACAAAATACAATTCCTTTGTATAGTAATGAACAAAGAGCTGTTTTAACAGAAACATACAATATATCCTAGGTATCTGTTTGCCAAATGTTTAAGACTGTAAGTGCAAGAATCAATCATTCTTTAAGCGGTCCTTAACAAATGTTATCCTGTATTTGCTACACCATCTTAAAATCTATACCGGTTTGGTAAAAAACTCATAGCTCAACCATTTAGCTAGCTAGCTACAGTGTTAACATATTTTAACCTCAAAGCAGTTATACAAATATTTCACTTGTGTAAACCATTATAGTCAGCTAAAGTACAAGCGCTTGGGCACTGTGCAAGCATCAGCACAGTCGCTTATTTTGACCCATACAATGAGTTCCTCACACTCAAATCCTATTCCCCAAATACAGTGTTATTTTTCTGCCAAGCCCCCAGTCCAGGAATTATAACTCAGAGTGAGCCTTGAGTCGACCTTTACCTTTTTTGCAAAAAAAATAAAACTGTAACAAAGTCCAACAGTGATTGTGTGAAACGTTGAGGATGGCACATCCATAGCGACTGATAGAGACCTCTAGCGGCCAAAAGCCCGTTAGCATGGGCAGCACCATTGAGGGCTTCCATGCTTCCGCCATTTTGAAGTAGTGAAAGTAGTCAACTGGGTGGGGATTCCTATGGGTTGTAGCCTCAATGACACTGCCCAAGCTGTCACAGATGCTATAATGGCACAGATATCAAGATGAGCCCTCCATCTATGTCAATGGGCACACCACATTATATATGATGCACATAAACGCAATGGATGGCCATTTGACATCAGTATATAGTGTTATAGATTCTAAGGGACAGGGTCTTTGGGAGAGACTGTATACACATACACCTACATTTTATACATCGAAGAAATAGTAAAGGTATCAGTAAAGCACTCTTCCTTACTGGCAAGCAGTAACTTTCACAAGGATATCCTACATCTAAAAGGATTTCATTACAATTACATATTTTGCTCCTTGAATTTACGATAACAGTATTTAACAATCACCAAAACACTAGGTTCTATCCTTGATGTTTTCAAACGCTAAATCATATCTTAAATTGGGAGGTGGAATTATGGATGTCCTGGACTTTTACCTTTATAAAAATTTGATATGATTCTCTCATATAGTAATGGACTTTCCCTTAACTTGCAAAACTCCATAATCAAAAAAAAGATACAAGTAGACACTAAAAGTTGTTCAAACTGCCTTCAACATGGTCGGTTCGAGGAAACAGTCCCTTCCTCTCAACCTAAGCAGCTCTGCATACATCTCTTCTCCAGTCAGTGGATCGGACAGGGAACAGAAGAAGAAAAAATGGCTGAGTGTGTTCGTCTTGGTGGTTGGGTCATGTCTGGTTGTTTCTTTTTTTGTTTGTTTCGTTACAATGTTGTTGCGCGTTTGCATGTCGAGACCCTTTTGCTGTTAGGGGATGCTGCCCTCTGCTGGTTGCCCTGGTGGCAGTACATGGCCCTGCACCTCCACAGCCGGTTAAGTCCCTCAGAGCAGCTTCAGACTTCCAGTGACGTTGTTCACCATCTCCTCCTCCCCGACAATGGCCAGGACGGTGCGCGAGCCAGCTTCCACCTGGCAAAAGGGGCGGAGGTCATAGAATTTAGACTAGCATCCTTGTGGGTAGGAGGTACTAGGAATAGGTTGTAACAATAAAAGTGTGTGGGAAGGCAGGGAAGACTAGGCATGAATTTATTGGATTCAATCTCAATAGAGAATCCCTTAATATTAATTGATGCAGATTGTTTATTATATTGAATGAATTGCGTTTTCCCCCCTTGTCCTCTACAGAATCTGTATTGTCTTTTACAGTGCCTTCAGAAAGTATTCACACCCCTTGACTTTTTCCACATTGTTGTGTTAAAGCTGAATTTAAATGGATTAAATTGAGATTTTGTGTCACTTCCCTACACACAATACCCCATAATGTCAAAGTGGAATAATGTTTTTTGACATTTTACAAAATAATTAAAAAACGAAAAGCTGAAATGTCTTGAGTCAATAAGTATTCAACCCCTTTGTTATGGCAAGCCTAAATAAGTTCAGGAGTAAAAATTTGCTTAACAAATCACATAAATTGCATGGACTCACTGTGTGCAATAATAGTGTTTAACATAGATAATTTTGCATGACTATCTATCAAAAACAATTTGATTAATAAAATGTTTAATGTCATCTTCCTCAAATGAAGGGGATGATGACGCAATGTTTGGGAGAGGGAGCGAATGTGATTGAATTGTTCCTCAACTCGCGTCTCAGACACTTCATTCAGGATAAATGGAGTTAGCCCCTAGTTAGCCTGCCCCGGAGCAGGTTAGTTCTAAAGCATTCGTTGCCATATACATTTACCTGGCTAAAAGGTGAACCTCTTTCGTGGTACCAGTTATCCCAAGTTGAACTCAAGAGTTGACCAAAGTTATCTCGCTAACTCGTCAAACCAGAGGGGTATCCTACGTTCAAACTCAATACTTATCATAATGGCTGTGCATACCACTGTAAGCTGACACTTTAGTGTCACGTTGAACCGTAATGGTGGTGTTTGCCTGTGTGCAGGTGCTGCTGTGGAGCCACAATGGTGGTGCATGTGTCTGTAAGCAGGAGCTACTATAACTACGAATCCGTCGTGGTGGGGCTGTGTGCCTGTAAGCAGGTGCAGCAGTGCTACTATAGAGCCGTAATAGTGGCCCATGGGTCTGCAACCGCTGCTGTGTAGCCGCACGTCTCACCTGGGTGCGTCCGGCGTCCTGGACCAGATACGTGGGCAGGCTAAGGCTCATCGCCAGGGCCTGCAGCTCCAAAATGTGAGCCATGTTGGTCCCCTGCAACGCCACCTTCTTCGCCCTGCACACCACACAAACATACATTTAGATATCCTGCTGTGGCAAACGTCGACAGCAGGTTGAGCCGGCGCATAGAACAGCCAGATAGTGTTATTGCCATTACCAGATGTCATTATGGTGTTTTAAAAGTGTCCGGCTTTCTTTCTCTGATCAGATCCAATTTGATCAGCAGTATGGGGTCTCAAGTAACATACAGGATTATAGTATTGCCCCTGTAAAGCCTTAATGAAAAAAGGGTCCAGTCCAGACAGGTCCTTACCCGCCATGGTCCCACCTCCAGGCCATCTCCCTCCAGCTGTTCTTCTCCTGCAGGACCTGGTAGAGCCCTACGGCCGCATGGCCCACCTGCGCAGCCACCTACACAACACACACCAAACGCTTTCAGAGTAAGCAGAAATATAAACAAAAGTTTCATGTATTCGCTTTGTGTTTGATGTGCGATTCTCATTTAAAAAACAACAGGGGCAAGCTGGGCCTTTGTGCGTCTGGCTGGAACAAACTATACCACAACAACCATACTAGCCGGACAAACTCTATGTAATGTTTTTGCACCATGGAATTTAGGGACCACAATGGCTGACTGTGATATTCCCGTCATGTTTCTCCAATGTATGCATGTGTTTTCTTAAACTGGCAAATAAAATCAATCAAAACAACACATTCCAACCCGTGTCTTCACACTGACCTTTCCCACACCCATGGCCAGGTCCATGTTCACCACAAACACCATCTTGAACATGAGGTCGTCATCGCCTTCTTCCTGAGGGAACGAGAGAGAGAAAGAGACATTCAGGGTGGACTCAAACACAATACAGGAGAAGTAATGTACCAACGTGTACCTGTGCGGACTAAGGCTATCTTATGGGCACCTCATTCTCCAGCTTGTTGAAGTAGTACATGGCAGCCTCCTCAGCAGACACATTTCGGGTGTGCAAGAGTGCCTGCGGGAGGTAGAAACATAGAAAATGGCAGAAAATGTTGGGTGGATTAGCCATGTCAATCATAGCTATGGTACTCTATACAGTCATTATGAATGCATTGAAAAACAGATATGCCGAACCAAGAGAACATTTTCATAATATACTGCAGATCATATCTCAGGAAATGCAAGAGAACCTGTATACCGTAAATTAACCCACCTGCTTGGCAGCCTCCTCTGGGATGTCCAGCTCTCGAAGCTGCTGCAGGTACACAGGGTTGACCTCCTGAGAGCCAGAGTCTGGGACTGTCTGTTGGTCGGAGGGCTCCATAGTTAGCTGGAGCGGGAGCACGTTGGATTAGAGTTAGTTTAATAAGGTGCAGCATTCAATATATACAGTACACCTTAGCATAGTTCTCCACAAGCTGTGTCTCAATCCCAAATTAATTTAAAAGACTGGCACCATGATGTTAAATTATTAAATTTTGGTGCTTGTATTTCCTGTTCAATTAGGATTGAGGCACAGCCAGAGCACCATGATTCATTCTCATCCTAGTAGACTAGCCATTACAGCATTCTCATCCTGGTAGACTAGCCATCAGGGCATTCTCATCCTGGTAGACTAGCCATCAGGGCATTCTCATCCTGGTAGACTAGCCATCAGGGCATTCTCATCCTGGTAGACTAGCCATCAGGGCATTCTCATCCTAGTAGACTAGCCATCACATCCCTGGTAGACCCACGGCATTCTCATCCTGGTAGACTAGCCATCAGGGCATTCTCATCCTTGTAGACTAGCCATCAGGGCATTCTCATCCTAGTAGACTAGCCATCAGGGCATTCTCATCCTGGTAGACTAGCCATCAGGGCATTCTCATCCTTGTAGACTAGCCGTCGGGGCTGCCCTTGACAACTAGCTAGGCAAGACACACCCCGTAACTAGCCAAGTGTTTCACTAACGTTAGTGAACTGATATCATAGCTAGCTAGCAACCTAAATCAAAATCATGTAGTTAGCCAGACATCTCACAGTTGTCTACAGCTAGCCAGCTGCTAAATTGAGGGAGCTAACATAGCTAGGTAACGTTCGCTTGCTAACTACAAGGCACGCAACTAACGTTCGTTAGTTAACTATGTAACGTTAGACAATTACCGACAGAGTAGAGCAAGTCGTGTCTAACGCGTTAGCCAGCTATCTAGCTAGTTACTCATATCATGGCATGAAAGAGCACATTATCTCACTTACAAACTGGCAGCTCGATTGTGGGATGACATCTAACGTTAACTAGTTAGCCAACGGTGATCACAAGACACCGAGGTGAAATAATGTCAACCATGAAATAGAAAACAAACCATAACGTTAGACAACCAAGCGAAGTTAGCTAGCTACAGTACCTATCATGCATTGTAACAATAATATGATTGAACAGCACGCGTTAGCTAATAGCTGATTGCGTTTTCTATATTGTAACTAAACATCGTTATATTTTACCTAGTTACCTAACTAGCTAAAATGCATTTGTCTGCTATGTATTCTTCTCCCTGCAAGTTCTAGCTAGCTAACGTTAGCTAGCTAGCTTACAGTGTAAAATTGCGCCAGCCACTCCTACCTGCGCTGCCTAGATAACTTGTTAGCGACCAAGTTAGCGACAATCCCCGTGAATTAGTGGGATGGGAGTGCTAGCTTGCAAACCAATATCCACGCTCTCCTTTCACTACGATGAAGCCAGGTTGTTGACTGCAGATTACTTGTTCATTCAAAGATGGGCGTTTTGTGGTTTTAGCTCTTTACACCATTTTAAGCACGGTTCGCTTCGAGAGGAAGAGGCAAAGCGAGAGGGTTTACTCCGCCCAAAATCTGTCCACCAAAATAAGACCACAAAGTGAGCAATTTTTGTATGGGGGTCATTGAATGTCGAATTTGGTCAACCGAAGATGTAATTGCTAATTTGCTACGTGAGGCTTATTCGATCGAATATAAGCTTCTTGATGGTTAGGTTGTTATGAATGCACTGATATAAATTGACGCACGTAACATTTTGGCAAAAACGTTATCTGAGTTGTGCCCATAGAGAATGATAGAGGCCTCTAGTGGCCAAAGGGCCATATTAGCATGGGCAGCGCCATTCTTCTTCTTCTTTAAGGTTTTATTTGCGGACTACATCCCAAAAGGTCTACTGCCACGACGTATTAGGGGGATAAAACTGATACTTGAACGAAAAAAATAAAACACACTCATATTATTTAAAAAAATAAAAAAAAATAAGTCTATGTACTCCTTCACTGTACTCAGATCGCTACACAGGCTGTGGGGGAAGCATCTTCAGACAGTTTTCCCTGTGATGTTTCAGCTGTGAAATCCTGGAGATCCAATAACCTTTTAGCCGCTTTCACAATGATTTCCAGTTTCTTCAATGTTTTGTTAGTTTGTCCTATACAATTAATCACCTGTGCAATAAACACAACAAAATCAACCTTCTTCACGATTAGTGTTTCAGGATCTCTCAACTGACTGACATCCACAGACTGTTAGGTATCCACTGCCATAGCTTCATGATCTCTACTCGCTGCTTCAACAATTTTCACTGCCTCTGCATAGGAGACCTTCGACAGTCCTGTTCTTTCCTGCTTTGACCTCCTTCACCCTAACAGGGCACTAGGGGAACTCTGGAATGTGATTCCCATCACAATTGCAACACCTTGCATCCTCAGGCTCTTCAACAATTATATTCCGTTTGCAAACACTTAACACGTTGCCAAACTTGTACATATATGACATTGAAGTGACTTTTGTACATAAGCTTGCACCGCATATCTCAAATATCCCCAGCTTTACATGGGTTGGGAGAAATACCTCATCAAACATCAATAATACAGAAAGGCTTTCCTCCTCCTTTCCATTCACAGTGCGGGTTAAGTGACGTGAATCAAATCATGAAGCCTCAATATCCATCGAGACGCCGGATATGACACCTTTTATCGGTGCCCTACTCTGATAATTATAGCATTCCTCTTCATGCGTCGATAATCTGTACATCCACAGTGCTTTCTCCTTTCGACACACATGAAATCAACATCAGACCACTCCTGGTCACTGACTGACTCCACTTCTCCCAATGTATCCTTCACCATATGTGTGACCCAAACTGGTTTCCCCCCAAAAAACATCTTGCTCATTAAATGCCCTCCAACAAGGAATGAGGCATTATCATACTGAGGCTTATCTTGATTGACCAAAACATAAATAAATAATTAACAGAGTAGCAGCAGCGTAAAAGGATAGGGGGGGGGGGGGGGCAGTGCAAATAGTCCGGGTAGCCATGATTAGCTGTTCAGGAGTCTTATGGCTTGGGGGTAGAAGCTGTTGAGAAGTCTTTTGAACCTAGACTTGGCACTCCGGTACCGCTTGCCGTGCGGTAGCAGAGAGAACAGTCTATGATTAGGGTGGTTGGAGTCTTTGACAATTTTGAGGGCCTTCCTCTGACACCGCCTGGTATAGAGGTCCTGGATGGCAGGAAGCTTGGCCCCAGTGATGTACTGGGCCGTACGCACTACCCTCTGTAGTGCCTTGCAGTCAGAGGCCAAGCAGTTGCCATACCAGGCGGTGATGCAACCAGTCAGGATGCTCTCGATGGTGCAGCTGTATAATTTTTTGAGGATCTGAGGACCCATGCCAAATCTTTTCAGTCTCCTGAGGGGGAATAGGCTTTGTCGTGCCCTCTTCACGACTGTCTTGGTGTGTTTGGACCATGATAGTTCGTTGGTTCGTTAGCTGATCCCTCCTGGTGACCGGGTTGGAGTCATGTCCAACAGGGTCATCAGGAGGGATCAGCCAATCGGGAAGAAGAAAATGGACTACTTCAAAATGGAGATTTACTCAATGGCACTCTATATGGTTGTGCCTGTTGTTCACTAACTTTACATAGCAGGCCTAGAAAGACACCTGATCAGAGTTCATACTTTCGTTTTTCAGGGAAAACATAAGTTAGATTGAAAATACTGTATCCCTGAAAACCAGATGTTAGCATTTTCTGGTAACTCCGCATCACTGAGGTATAATAAGAACTGTAGACTGCGTCCAAGATGTTCGACCATTGTTTTCAAGGTAATCTACTCATGTCTTCTCCTTCAATGAGGTTTAACGGCGGTTGGCAATATATTATGTATTACTGCCACCAACTCGACTGGAATATAACTCCCTTATAGTTGTAAAAAGGGAAATAAATCAAATACCCTACCATCTAACCTTACACTCGTTAAGAACTCACCACCCTACTCCACTATTTAAACCTATCTAGTCCTACCTCAGGCCAACAGCCTGAAAGGACGGGACACCACCACTCAACACCCCCTGTAACTCTTCTGACGTCAAATCCCGTACACCCAAATACTTCTCTGCAGCTGCCACAAAAAACTTTATTTTATGCGACTTACAGTGCAGTTGATAACCATTAGTATGAATGCTAAAAAGCCAATCTTACTACACACGAATCCTCTCAGGATCCCTCCCCCTTGACCAATCTTCCTCAACTTTCTTCACTGCCTCAGCATACAACACACTCTGCTCTACTCTAACCCTGGTAACCTCAACCTGCCTCTCTCACACCAGACATTTCTGATCCCCAGCCCCATGGGCACCCCTACAATTAACGCATGCTGCTTCTTTACCCAATGCTACACATTCCTTTGTCTCATGCCCTTCTGCTCACTTCTCACACCTAGGAACCTCCCTCCTACACACTGCTGTCACATGCCTATAAGCTGGACACCTGTAACAACGTAATGTATTTGGCACATAAGCTCGTATGGAATAACTGAAATATCCTAACATCACTTTGTCAGGCAAAGACAACATCAAAACTCAAAAGAACAGACAATTACTCTTGTTTCACCTCTCACACCACCCTGTCTGTCGCACCAAACGACGAGCATCACAAAACCGGGAATCTTTCCCTTCAGTTGATCCACTTTCACATTTACCGCTACCCCAGTAATCCCTCCTTTCAATGGCGCCCTTTTCACATCTCTTGTCCCAATCCGTTTGGCGTGAAGCCCCTGCTCCCTCTGACCAGCAGAAACACAAACAATCACAAGACCACTTCAGGTTACCTTCACCGATTCCACAGCACCCAACTCCGTTTTCAACCACCCTGAAACAACAAATGGATAATCTACTCATGTTCTGGATTGTATCTGGTTTATACAGACCAACATCACATGAACACTAGCATTCAGTGCGCACAGGGAGCAGTGAAGATATAATCCAAAAACATGGCAGACATTGGATGAATATAAAATGTTAATATCTTCGGCTGTAAGTGATTCATTTTTT